ATGTTTGAGTAATCTTTGATATTTTTTCTCTGGAAAAATCAGTGAGGGGAGCTGCTGTATTTAACCCTCCTGTCCTTCAGCCATCGGTTACTTGCACAGTACGTGGGATCTGCTAGTGCTTACGTTTAGGATGTCACTACAGCAAACCTGTGTATCTCTGTAATAGAGTTAAGCAAGGGACACAAATTTGGGTAGGCTACCCAGGAATGCGCTGGCTTCTCTTAGGCATGGCGCCGGACTGAGAGGAGTGTATTGATGGTGTTAATTCCGTAGTCTCTTGCAGGCTGGTTGTATGAGACTGTTTGGTGTTGCAAGCGGTTAACTTCTTTAAACTCACTTTTAAAAACTCATTTTTTAAGCTCAGACAAACACGTCTGTTGAACTACTGCGGAGACTGGTCACAGGAAAACCTTTGGTTGGTTCAGCATGAAGAGCTTTGTCACCTGAATATTAAATTGAATAACACATGGCTATTTGGTGACATGATTAGGCAGTCGGTACTACTGATAAGGGGTTTTATTTGAGCATTCCTGAAATCTGTCTTAATAAAGAAACAGTTTGTCACTGGCACATTGAATTGCAGGCGTAACGCAGGGAGCACTGAAGTCAAGTAAGTTTGAAATGGTGCTGAGCCCAGACAGACTGCGTGCAGGTTCTCATCCTGAGGACTAGCCCTGGAGAGATCATTCATGAACGCAGCTTCGAGCTGTCAAGGCTCCTGTTGGCAGAGGGGGCAGGCCCAGCGCTCTCCGCAGTAAAAGTGATGTAGCCCAGACTGGGCACTGGGGCATGAAATCTATGTCCACGTTACATACGGATCCTTGCAGGGAAGGGGTGTGTTGGTGGAATAGTTAAATTTGCAAAGCAGTGTGGTTAAACAGAAGGGGTTGAATTCCACCACACTCGACTCGGGTTTTTATATGATAGCTGAACTTCATCCACGTGTAAAACCGGATCAATAAGGACACCAAAGCTAGTCCCACAAATTTGAAGTTCCTGAGTGCTCCTATTTACTTGGGTTGATCCAGCAACCGTATTTACAGTACGTGTTGCAGGATGAGGGAGACAGGAATATGTAGTAAAACTGTTACTCTGGAACCATGGCATGCACTTAGTTGTAAGAATTTAACCCAGCCTACTTAATTTTATTTGCTAGTGCTTAATATTGGTCACCTTTCAATTTTTACTCATGACATCCATTGTCTGAGACATTTTGAAAAGATAAATTTAGATATTGATACCTTGGTAATGTGCTGTGCTCCCCAACAGGGGAGCCATTCGTTGAGGGGAGATAAAGTGGGTTTTATAACCTGATCATGGGGATCACAGTACTAAGAAGAGAACCTGCGGTTAGGTTATCAAAGAAGAGCCTTGCTTTGAAAGAGTTCTAAGTAATCAAGCACCTATTTAAAGTAGTAAGAACCATGGGAATATCTAGATACGATAACTTTTGCTCTTTTATTTCAGTAATTCATCTGTAGACCATTTTAAAAAAAAAAAAAGTTTTGGCTAAGAGAATGCTTTAGTAAACATGTAACAAAATGTAAGCAATAACCACCCCCAGAACAAAACTCCAAGGGTAGTTTATGATGAGGAAACATTGTGGACTAAATATTGATCTGCGGTAATTAATTGATAATCTGAGGAACAGCAGGTGCTTGGCACTGTAACTATTCCTGTGTTGTGCCTTCTGTACCCACCTCCCATACAGGTAGCGTTTGACCATAACGTAACTGAAAGAGAGTAGATTTAGATTGGATCTAACGAAGAATTTCTTCACTCTGAGGCCAGTGAGGCACTGGCACAGGTTGCCCAGAGAAGCTGCGGATGCCCCAGCCCTGGAAGTGTTCAAGGCCAGGTTGGACGGGACTTTGGGCAACCTGGTCTGGTGGAAAATGTCCCTGCTCATGGATGGGGGTTTGGACTAGCTGAGCTTTCAAGGTCCCTTCCGACCCAAACCATTCTGTGATTCTAGGAAATGTTCTTGGGAAAGATAGTCTTTGGGAATATAAAGCCTGAGGGAAGTCGGTGTCACCTAATGAGTAACAGCTCTCTCTAGTTGGAAAGTTTACACTGAAAAGCTTTGTTTTATTCCAGACTTCCCAGTAGAATTTGGGATTCTAATGAAGTGCGACAAACGTTCAGAAAAGGAAATAAC